ACTGTTACTATTCATTGTAGTTACTCATCAGAACAGTCACCTGCTCTGTTATTACCCAYTTTAAACTTTTAAAAATGACTCTGCTGTAACTGCACATCTGTGTTTCTTGTGTTTCTTGTGTTTCTTGTCTGCACTGTGATAATTTACAGTTAATTGTCTGTTGAGATTGTTTTGCACTGAAAATAGACTATTTCTGATTTCTAATGTCAGATTCTGACAGTCTGCTGTCTCTAAAACAAAACACATCTTTTTTTTCTTGCACAATTCTTTATAATATATTTTTATTATTAGCTGTTGTATCATTGCTAGTAGTGTTAATTTTGTTTTTTGTGCACTGTCTATAGTAAATTGTGTGTGAACCTCTGGACACCTGAATTTCCTCTCGGTGGGACAATAAAGGCTATTCTATTCTGTTCTATTCTATTCTAGATTAATAATAAATGAAATGCAGAACAATTGTTACATTATACAATAAATTTAAAGTTTTATCATTAATATCTCTTTTACTTTATACAGCAATGCAATTCGTTTTGCTATTTTTTATTCTCAAGTCATTTCTAATATATTTACATTTCAGCTTCTCATCAATGATGCAAAAAAAACTAACTTCACAAACTGTATAAAGTCCAGTTCCACTGGTTTAAAATGACACTGAGTTCACTTTACAAACCTGACTTCAGTCTGACTTTCATTCAGGTTCATAAACTTTAGTTTCACCCAGGTTTTTATGTCATTTAAACTAAAGATTTCTGTTTTTAAACCCCACTTCTGAAAAAGTTGGGATGTTGGATCAAATGTAAGTAAAAACAAAAGAGGGATTTGAAAATCTCACTCTAAAAATGGGATTAAATAATTCATCTGTTTTTTATTTCACACAACGGAACAATTCTTCCAGAGTTGTGTTGACACAAACTGGTTCAGAGATCTGGACTAAGACCCGTCCTGTGTGAGGAGGACTCCGCTGGTTGACGTGGTTAAAACATCTCGTCCTTCAGGTCATCGTCTACGTGGACGACGCCAACGACGAGGTGCCGGTGTTCACCCAGCAGCAGTACAACCGCCTGGGCCTCCGAGAGACCGCCGGGATCGGCACGTCTGTGATCGTGGTGCGCGCCACCGACCCGGACACTGGTGAGTTCTGAGCAAGGTTCAAATAGTTTGGGATTTTTCATTATAGTTTAGTTTGATTTAGTTGTGACCTTTTTTTAATTTGGTTAGTTTTAATTAGTTTTTACAGTGGATTTGATGGTTTTTATTACTTATTATTGCTTTTTTAACGCTTAGTTTTAGTTTAGTTTAGTCTTTATTAGTTCTAGTGTAGGGGTCACCTCGAGTGAAGAAACAAGATTTACTGCCTTGAAGCAGGCCTGATGAGAGGACAGGAACTCTGTCACAAACTGAACTCTGTTTAGGCCATGACAGGTCATTCTAACCGTGGAGGAGTCTTCGGTTTTGGACGTCCTTCGTCGCGGCGCTGTGACGTATGCGGCCGACGAATTCGGCCTTCGGAGGACCCGGCCAGTTGTTTTGGACACAGTCATAGCTGACACTATATTGCCTTATATGTATTAGCTCGGTGCTAGTGCGACAAACAAGTTAAACTGTTGTCCTCCATCCACATGACAGAGAGGGGAACGCAAAAATGACTCAGCTGCAACTGAAAATATGGATGGAGGACCTCAGTTTAGCTTGTTAGTTTGTCGCGCTAGCGCCGAGCTAACACATGCAGTATAAGGCAATATAGCGTCGGGGCTAACGCTAACAGGCTAATCTGAGGT